TATTTCGTTTATATCAGGTTGGATTTTCTGCAATGAGGAACTCATTACTTTATCTGAAACTCGTTGATGCTGGTGTACCCAAAGATGATATAATGGTACTCACTACAGCAATGTTTGCAGTAAAAATTTTAACACCATTTGCTGTATCCAAGTACACTTCGGGTCCAAAGCCAATGAGCGTGTGTTTAAAATCAATTCCCATCAAGTGAATATTATAATATAAAAATACAGTATTTAATTTTTATTAATTTTACGCAGTAGGCATAATATAGTTTTTTTTCGCGTGAACTATAATCTTTTATATATGAATCTATTCAACATATCCCATTGGACATTAAATAATATTCAATAAATTCCAAAAACATAAATTTAAATTTGATTGATAGGTCATAGGTAGATAGAAATTCAAAAATGTATTTGATGTATATAATAATAATTGAAATATTAATTAAGAACATCGTAAAAACAAACCTAAAATTAACTATAACTTATATGTTTTTATAATACCCGGACCACTTTTACTTTTTATCTAACCRCGAATATGGTATTTAAATATATTGGTATACACAATATGCGTAAAATGTTTATTTGTCTTAGGATGTTAAAAAGTAAATAAAAACATGAATGCATGATATTATGTTGAATTAATAATTCTATATTTTAATGTTTAAAATCTTTTTGTTTCAGACTAATGTGGAGTCTTACATACATTGGATTTGTTCATTTAACACCAATGATTATATATCGTAATGGAGTATTAAATATACCAATATATTATTATTTGATTTTAGGGCTTCTAAACGCAATAAGTGAAGTAAGTTGATAAACTATACTTATGACACTCATGTCATACTATAAATATAGTATACGAGTATAATATAATCTTGTATCTTGTTTAAGCCATGGTATAATGTTCATAGTACAATAATTACTAATACGAATTCAAATTAAAGTGTAATTTAATATTTATTTATTTTAACGTGTTAACTAGGCACTCTCTTACATAATGCTAGTAGCCTTAACRGCATTTTTCTCTCAAATAAGTGACTCTCGGTTTGGTGGAACATACATGACGTTGTTGAACACAGTTTCAAATTTTGGGATGACATTTTCGACATCCATAGGACTAAAATTGATTGACTTTTTAACGATTAAAAAGTGTTCGAATGATTCCAATAATTATTGTTCTACAATAGATTTGGAAAATGTAAGACWTTGATGTTTAAATATATTTAAGTTATTTACTTTTTATATTGTATCTATACATATTATTTACATTATTCATTGAGTACGTGTAATTAAAAATTATAGCTAAAAGATAAAATGTGAATACACATAAGTTGAAAAATATTCAGCAAAATTAGTTTATAACGATGTGACGTTATTATGGAATATTAAGATTTATGAATTGGTCATTTAAACCTATACTATGTTATACTAACCTATACTGTACACACGACGACGACCTATAGAATCGTATAATGAATACAATTTTATTAAGTTTTATTTGTCTGATGTTCACATCAACATCRTTATAATTTATAAATTCTGTTTTTGCTATTAGTAAAAAYCGTTTTATTTTAAATTATATTCATTGAAATATGGTTTTAATTTTCATAGGCGTGTGATACAAATGGTGGCAATTGTCTTATAACAATGGATGGTTACTATGTAGAAATCATCATATGTGCATTAATCGGCTTTATTTGGTACGGGATRTTTAAAAATACGTTAGAAGATTTTCAAACCAAAAGTTCTTCATATTGGATGGTGTATGTTGATCGACCAAGTGAAGAAAATGTAGAAAATTCTGTTGATCCTTTTTCTAAGACCTAGAATCTAAGTAAATGCCAAGAATTTAATTCTATGACATTAAACATATAATTTAAGAAAAATTATTTATTTATTTATTTATTTTTTTTTTTTTTTATTAAGTTAGGTACTCTAAATATTGAAATAAGCACGTTAACTTACTTATTATTTATTGTTGTTTTTATTATATTTTTTAAAATCTTAAATTAATCAACCAAATAAGTATGTAAATTGATTTGATGATAATCGTTAGTTAMATTTAAATATTTATWTGAATCATTTTTTAATTAATGGTAAATTTATTGACATTAACTTTAAATATATTCTGTGTTGTTATTTTCATAATCAAGTTTAAAAACTTAAAATTTCAGATTTTCGTTTATTTTGTGTTTTAAACTGTATTTAAGTTTATATACGGGTAGGTACCTACATAAACTCTGTATTAAATGAAATAACATAATTCCATAAGTAATAAAAAAATAATTAAATATTATACGTTACCATTGATTATAAATACTCAAATACTCAATGATAAATTATATAACTGTTGGTTCTGTACGGCCRCGGTGTTGTCTGTGAAAATTCAAATAATGCCAGTGGATTCACCCTATCTTAAAGTCCATTAAAATGTAAACTACACATATTTTTAACATATTCATTTGAGGAGGTTTTGACTAMATGAAAAATATAAAACACAATTATGATCACTACTTAAGTAACCATTGGCAATCCTATACAATCAATTATTAATCGTTTTTAATTAACCTAAAAATCCTTGTTTGAGCCTCTCCTCTTTGCAGAAAACGATGCAACATTATTTTTACATCATAGAATATACACTATATAATATAATATAAACATTTTTGCTACTTTATATATCTAATATGTATGGGTTTTTTTTAAATATATATATATTTATGTATACCGTTTCCAAATTTAGTCGCTTACTTACATTATTTTTTTAGCTGCTTAGTGTAACACACTATCATCAATTTAGTTAAAATATTGCTGGAAAATAAAATAAATTAACTAAATTGACTACTTTATCGAATACTAAATTATACCACTGTCCATCTCTCATTATATTATAACGTATAGCTTAATTAACTAAACTGTGTTTAAAGCATACAATTTATACACACAGCCACGCGGGTTATCAAATAATACAATTTGACTCGTAGATTTGCTATCTAGCTATTTGCCTAGTTCACTAAAAGTAGTTATTTATACAAATATATTTTTTCATTGTTCACTGATAAATATTTAAATGTTATTCAATGATTTTTATTTCAAAGGTACACATGTTTTATTTATTAGATAATTATATCATTCATAAAAATAGTAAAAAAATTATAGTAAATATTAATACGTATAAGGTACGATTTTCATTAGGATAGGTAATATAATATTATATAAGTGGTAGATCAAAATCTAAGATAGCTTTTTTACTTAGTAGGTACATGCAGAACTATGGTGAGTACAGTTATGTAATTATTTTATAGTTATTATTACTGATCATTTAATCAATTATCATACGTTCAAAATACTGAATAATAATGACATTATCAACCCAGGGAGATGAACCAACAAAATCAACAGTRACAAAAGAGTCAATGTTGGTCAAACCAAATTTAAAAAGAGATTGGCTGAATATTTTTCTATTGTTGTTGCTTTACATAACGCAAGGTATTCGGTTTGGCATAATCACAATAATTCCAATACTCTTGCAAAGTAAGCAAAATGTAACTTACAAGGAACAGGAAAATATATTTGACTTTTAATCTCAAATGTGCTTATATTACTTGAGGAACCTCAATAATGTTGCGATGTTTGTTTTAGTCTTTATTTAGTATGGTTGCTTGGCCGTTTAGCTTAAAACTGTTATGGGCTCCTTTGTTAGATGCACTATACAAACAAAAATTGGATGGCGTAAGTCATGGCTCATTCTAGTTCAGTTTTTAATGGGTATGTACATTGTACTTTCTTTACTAAATATTTTCCACTAAAAATATTGAGTTACTATTAGTGTGTAARTCTTAAATTATGCATTGGAATACAATAAATTTGTATCTTAAATACCCTAAGAATAATCTGAGCATAGGCGTGCACACGGGGGGTGCAGGGTATGCAACTGCACCCCTAGCGAGTTCAGCTTAGAAATAGATAGATAGATAAATAATACTTTTTAAGTTATAATTATTTTCAAACCCGTGGTCACACGATGAGTGCWACCAATGCAACAGTGCTTATGTGTACGAATCTACATTGTAAAATCGACAATCGTTTTCTGTTATCAAAGTGTGATAGTCGATAGATAGTAGCTATATAGACACGTCATCTTGAATTATAATTTAAAATTATTATTAACATAGGTAACTAACATTAACATTAACATTGACTTTTAAGAGAAATGCAATTACTTATTAAAATAATTATTAATTTTTTTTTTTATTAATCCTGGCCTGACTTGTTATGTGGCTAGGTAACATACTAAAATGTTCAATATGTTTGAACTATGCCCCCTCAGCAAAAATGTCCCGCGCACGCCTATGAACCTGAGTAGTTAACAGAGGTTTAAATAACCCAACAATTAGCGATTTTCTAATTGTTGAACTAGATGTAAAAACATTGAAATGCATATATTTTTTTGATTTTAACAGTGATTTATGTTGAACAGGATTATGTTTTTTTATATTGCTTACGATATCAATGATTTTTTTCCCGAAACGGGAAAGCCAAATATACTTAAGCTAGTATTTGTGTTTTTTTATAAAAAAACACTGTCACATAATATGATATGTTAAAATTATGTTTCACTTTATTATGTAATATGAACTAGCTGATGTCATTAATTTCTTTATTTTTTGTAAGAATACGATCAATGCATGATGAAATAGAGTTATTGAAACTTCTAGTAAAATTATTAATATAAGAAACGAATCCAATAAAAGATATTATATTAAAATTTTTTAAGATAAACAGAATTGATCTTTATATTAATAACACTAGGTACATATAATATATTTATTTAAATTGTTAATAGTATTATCAATCAGGTACTTAAACATAGGTCAATGATATCAATTAATAGGCAATCTCTAAATACCTAGAATAGTAAAAATACWAATATTTATTTTAAATTTTATTTCTAAAGAATTACAATTTACAATTACTGTTAATGATATTCCTAACATTTTTTATTAATTTAATTTGATCTTTAATCATTACGCCATTGTATGAATAAGTCTTTTTTAATTGCATGGACCTAGTTTCGTGCAAAAAAATGTACATTTTACATGCCACGTATTATTACAATGAAGTTTGACTGAGAGTATTACATCTTGTTTCGTTATGAGTGGAATTGCTAATGCTAATGGTTCTTTATCTCTTGCTGCCTTAGATATCAGCTTTCTCATTTTCTCAGTCACTTTATAAATAAGTTAATTTAATCGTTTCTATAATTTAAGTGTGGAATATAAAATTATAATAATTTATACATAATTTTTTTTAGTATCTCAACATTATTTATTACTTATTATATATCGTGTTCGTGAATACCTTCTTAAGAGGATGTCAGCGCAGTATCTGTTTTCTCTCTTTGACCCACGCGTAACATAGACAAAACGCGTTTACGCAAAATCATTCTTCTATGTCTTTAAGTAATTTTAGAGTAAAATCACCCATTTCAAAAAAGATAGAGAATAATATTTTTGAGAGTATGACATATCRATATTATATTTTAYTATCAATTAGATTAGATATTTATTACTTTAACGTTAATACATCAATCMATCCAATCGCAGCAGATTTTGSCCATAAATTTCCTAGATTTGAAAGAGTGTTCAACAATGTCATGTAAGTACCGCCAAAACAAGTATCGCTTATTCCACAATAAAAAGCTACCATASCTWCTGACATAATGTTACTTTGGATGAATAAAAATAGTATTCTTAATTCGTTTCAATTACAACTATTTCTCAAAAAAAAGCTCCCTACTMAAAATTATTGGGTACGATTTACTTATAAATAAAATGTAAATTACTCACATCGTGTATTATTTTTATAGTTACTGATATCGCATAGTAATAGTTTGGAATATCTATGATACCGTTATTTTAATTTTACGTCTGATTATAGTTAATTATTTTATTTAGATGTGTAAATCAAAAGGAGGTGATTGTATCGTAAAAGTAAATGGCTATTAGGTAGGTACGTAGAAACTGTTATTTTTACCATTACTGGAATCATCTGGTATCTCATTTTTAAAAAAACAACTCATACACTTGCAAAGTATGAATCCATCTCATTAGCTAGTTCATATAAAAACTCAAAAATCAGAAACTGATAAGAATGCTTACATTATGAATGTTGTAATATAATTTTTTTAACATCTAAAATGCTAATTTTTGTGGTTCTAAGAACATATTGAACGGCACATACTATGGAAAGCGTATTATAGTTTATTTTTAAGTTTGTAAATCAAAGTTTTAATTTTAGTTGCGTATACGTTATATCATATAGTTTACTAACAAAGATTTCAGTTACAATGATTTATAAATAAACATTATTTTATTTAATTTTTGTAATTAGTATTATTATCTTGTACATATTTTAATTTAAAATTATTGATGATAAAATATGAATATTTATACGATATACCTACCTCACACATATTTCCACTATAAAGTACGTTCTAAGTAGGTACGAAATGTACTCATATCAACTGTTGTAAACTCAACAGTACAATGTTAGCGAAATTCCATTTAATTAATCTCTATGCGTTGATTATTTTATACTTATTAAAATGTTTAAGCAATTTAACCTTTAAATATTTTTGACAAAGTTATATAAATGTGAGTATGCATTACCAGCCTTGGTCACATTTTAAAGTGCTCAACATTCAAAATACTTACCTAATTGCATATCGTAATTCTATATATAGGTACAATCGTATGTATCCTAAACAATATAATTGTTTGATTTTATCCTTTTTAATAGAAAATAATACTATTTATATAAATTTATTTATCATTTATCTATATACTAAGTAATATAATAAATTTGTAAATGTAATTTTTTAATTAAAATTAAAATCCCTTATAATTTATAACAAAT